TACAAAAACCTACTAGGACTAAAACATTGAATTTAAGCAATGTTACAGAATAAAAGGTCACAAAATTCTATTCTACTTTTGTGTATAGGCTATCAAAACCTGGAACAAAAAATTCAAGAATAAAATATCATTTTTACAACGGCATTGTAAAAACTCATGAGATATTCTACAAGAGCCATAAAAAAACTCATGAGATAATATGGGATACATTTAACAAAATATATTTAATAGCTGTACACTGAAAAGTACAAAACATTGTTCAGAGAAATAAAAGACCTGTACCTAAATAAATAAATGAGTGGATACACTATGTTTATGGATTGGAAGACTCAATATAGTTAAAATCTCAACTCTTCCCAGACTGATCTGTATATTCAAAATAATGCTAATCAAACCCCAAGTAGAGTTTTTTTTCTGTAGAAAATGATATGATCATTCTAAATGTATGTGGAAATGCAGAGGAACCATAGTAGCCAAACGTTTGGGGAAAAGAACACATTTGGAGGACTTAACTAACTCATTCAAGATCTACCATAAAGATATATTAATCAAGTCACTGGGTTACTGGCTAAGGATAGATGTATACCCAGAAGAGAGGACAGAAACAGATCCACACATATACGATCATTTGATTTTTGTGAAAATTTTGTAGACAATTCAATGATGAAATAAGTCTTTTCAATAAGTGGTGCTGGATGACTTCGTATCTGTATGGGAAAAAATGAACCTTGACCCTTCCCTTACATCATACACAAGTATTAATTCGATTGTAGCACAGATCTAAACATAAAATCCAAAAATACAAAATTTCTAAAAAAAGTCTATGCACCTTGGTGCATGCAAAGATTTATCAGGATACAGAAGTACAAAGTATAAAAAGAAAATTGGTAAACGGGACTTCATCAAAAACAGAAGTAAAACTTCTGTTCTTAGAATGATTTTATTAAGAAAACAGAAAGGCAAACCAACGACTGGGAGAAAATATCCAAAATTTAAAATGTTCAAAAAATAACTACAACTTAATAACAAGAAGATAAACATGCCAATAAAAAGATAGGCAATAGATCTAAACAGCTATTTCACAAAAGAAGATAGATTCATGACCGATAAGCATGTGAAAAGCTATTCAACATCATTTGTCATGAGGAAAAGGCAAACTAAAATACTAATGTGACAACCTTATTCATCTATTAACAATACCAAGTGTGGGAGAAGAAGATTTAGAGCAACTCGAACCATCACACAGTGCAAGTGGGAGTGTACAGTGATGCAACCACTTTGGTTTCTTGTTTGTTTTTTGTCTCCATCTCCTCCAGCATTTATCCTTTGTGTTACAAATAATACAATTATACTTTTAGTTATTTTTAAATGTACAATAAATTACTATTGACTATAGTCACCCTGTTGTACTATCAAATACTAGATATTATTTATTCAATTTGTCAGGTTTTTACAAAGTTAAGCATACTTACCATATAATCCAGCAATTCCACTCCTAGTTATTTATCCAAGAAAAATGAAAACTTACATGCGCACACAGACTTGAACACAATGTTCACAGATACTATATTCCTCATGGCCAAAAACTAGAAACAACCTGTTATGGACAAAACTGCGTCCCCTCCAAATTCATACGTTGAACCCTAATCCCCCAGGGTGACTCTATTTGGAGACAGGGCCTTTAAAGAGGTAATTAAGGTTAAATAAATGGGGTTATAAGGACAGGATCCTAACCCAACATGACTGCTGTCCTTATAAGAATAGGGAGAGACACCGAAGATGTGCATGCACAGAAGAAAGGCCATGCAAGAACGTAGCAAGAAGGCAGACATTTGCAGACCAAGGAGAGAGGCTCCAGAAGAAACCAAACCTTCCGGCACTGTTATCTTAGACTTCCAGTCTCCAGAACTGTGAGAAAATCATTCAGAGAGAAATAAACAAATCCACAATTACAGAAGATCTTAACATGTCTTCCAGTAATTGAGAGATCAAGAATACAAATACAGTAAGGATTTATAAGATTTGACTGACACTATTAACAAGCCTAATCTAATTTGGAAATATATATAACACATATATATGCATCCACCAAGAAGTGAGCACAGATGCTTTTCAAGGTCATGTAGAATATTATCAAATATTGATAACATAATCTGCCACTAAGCAATTCTTAGCAGATAGCAAAGAATTATCACAAGCCATTTTATCTGATCACAATATTGGAAACATTAGACAATAAGATATTAGACACAAGAAAGTAAAAATAGACGGATAACCTCAAGTCCCCTGTTCATTGGAAGGTTTTTTAAAACTTCAGGCCAAGTATGCTGGCTCATGCCTCTAAACCCAGCACTTTGGGAGGTTGAGGTGGGAGGATCGCTTGAGGCCAGGAGATCAAGACCAACCTGGGCAATACAGTGAGACTCCATTGCTACAAAAAAATTAAAAATTAGCTGGGTGTGGTGGCTCACACTTGCAGTGTTAGCCACTTGGAGGCTGAGACAGGTGGATCACTTGTGCCCAGGGGCTGGAGGCTGCGGTGAGCTATGATCGTACCACTGCACTCCAGCCTGGGAACAGAGTGAGACTCTGTCTCAAATAAACAAACTTTAGTAATTAAAAATAAATCATAACGAAACTAGATGATATTAAAAACAAAATGGCAATGAAAGCATTACTTCAAAACTTGTGGGCTGCAGGTGGCTGCACCCAAAAAAATATAGAGAAATTTCCAGTCTTCAATGTACACAAAAGAAGAAAGATATAAAATCACGAAATGATACATTGATTCTAAAATTCATTTGAGACAGTTTAATAAGGACCAAGTACAGTCAAAATAATTTGAGGGAACATTAATTCTCCCAGATATCAAGACTCAATATAAAATTATAGTAGCTACAAGAGTGTATTATTGACAAAGGGATAAACAGACCAATGGGGCAGAATGTATGGGAACTTATTTTTATGACAAAGTAGACTTGACATATTTCAGAGAAGAAAGGATAATGGATATCTGTTCACAAAGATAAAAATTACATGTCTACTTCAAACTACACAAAATCAATCTCAAATAGGTTAAAGTCCTAAATGTAAATGTCAAAATTTCACATACTTTCAAACATTTACAAGAACTTTTTTGTTGTTTTTTTGAGACGGAGTCTCGCTCTGTGGCCCAGGCTGGAGTGCAGTGGCGCGATCTTGGCTCAC